GTGGGGCTTTCTCCTCCCCTGTTTTTTACACCTTTTTTATATGCTTACTGTATCTTGACAGATAAACTCTTTGAGGAGAAGTAAGGAAGAGTTCAGCAGCCACATAAAAACAGAAATACTCACTACCTCACTGTAGTCTATTAAGGTAAGTATTTTCTTAATGAAGGGAAGAACTGTGGAAATACCTATGCCTTGAGCAAATAGCATCTTCGCCAACAYGCTGTCTCACCAAAGTTTAAGGTGCTGGAGTTCTCTTGTGCTGGAGGACTTTCAGTGCCATAGCTCTTAGTACATCAGAAACTTTCAGGAGATGTTTGGGTGTAATAAAGAAAAATCCCAAAGGAAGAACTACCATTCTGGATAGCAAGCTTGCAGAGATCCAGCAATATTCAAGTYATTTATAATCTAGAATTCGGACAAAATTTTTGCCACTGCAAGCCTGTTTCTCGTGATGCAATAATATATTCAGTGTGCAACCTGGCAAAGCTTTGTTAGGAGAATTAAAAACTTGTGTGTATCCTGGGCACCCAAGAGGATTTTTTATATGAAAAAATTGTAGTGATGAAATTCCTTTCACTTTCCATTCAGAAGCTGTGGGATTTGCTTCTATTCCCATTGGAAAGTCAGAAAGTGTTGACACAGCGCAGTGGAAACCTAGCTTAGTGTTTTGGATAATCTAGTGCAGCCATTCTCAGATGGATAAAAATGCTTTCTCTCTTGTTTAGACTGTAAAAGGCTCACCATTTCAGATGGCTTTTTGGAAGGCAAACATTGCTAGGCCAAGAGGATGGGTTAATTTCAGTTCATCCTTGTAAGGGACTGTGCCCATGGATTTCCTCCTTTTTTTCTCCTCCCCACCCCAGATCTCTCCATACACACACATACCTTTCTTCATTTTGTTACAGGACAGGGCAGTGGAAGGAAGGAGGGGCTGCCCAGAAAGTTGTAGGACAGTGTGAAGCGCTGCTTTTTAATTTCTAAAACTGGTGCAAAAGAGACTATCAGTGTACCATGGGTAATTTTTCTTTTACTGATATGACTTGAAATAAAGGTAGTGTAGTCAGGAAACATCAACAATTTGCTTTTGAGTCTTCTCCATCTTCGAGAAGTAGTAATGCCAGGCTTGAGCCTTGCCTCTACTGATCATCTGGCAGCCCATGTACTGCAGTCTAGTGGTCAGAGCAGGATGGACATTGAGGTTTTTCACCTAAAACAGGTTGAAAGTTGTTGATTAGAGCAAACATACATATAAATCATCGTCACCTAGAATAACTCTCTCAAAAATGATAGATTTGGGTGTGTTACTCAAGAATAAGRGAATGAGAGATACAAAAGTAAGCAACTGAACTGGGTCTTTTCCAAGTCTTTCAGTCACTCTACGTGAAAATTTTAAGAGTAATATCAGGAGAACTATCCTGTTTACTACCCCATCTTAAAAAGCCACTTTTGTAGGAGATAAGAGATGGTGTCAGTATGAAATRGAAATGCTTGTTCAGCCAGGGAGCAGAGCAATGCAGCTTAAAGTAAAATTGTACTTGCTAAAGCTTTGACCCAGATATGCCTCAATTTCTTTCAGTATCTTTTCATTTGCATGTTTTCTGTTATGGAAAAGAAATTGATACATTTTCCCATCTTATTTTCTGTATGAAAAGCAAAATATGCTGAATAACTTTATTTRTGATTACCACATATGGTGCCTTCCTTTGCTATTCATCTTGATAACTGTATTTTTCAGGAAGACTCTCATGATTTTATTCTATAGTGTTTTTACAATTCAGGAGTTTGAGCATAAAAGTGAAAAAAAAAAAAAACCCATCACCAAACCATAGCAAAAAGAAGGCTCTAGCCTGACATATGAATTTCATCATAATAAAAAATGAACTAAAGCATCCCAAATATCAGTTTGTTCTGATGACAGAGCAGGTTTCTTATACATGCTGGGGTGCTTAGTTAATAATCTGACAGCAGAAAAGTAGCACAGGAAGCAGARATAGCTACACATCTAAAGATTTTGCCAGTCCACTTGAAGAGCTGATCCCTGTAAGAAGTAATGTGAACATTGAAATAGTACAATTACCCACAGATTTCCCTTTTAGGCTTGAGAGGCTTTAATTTATATACACTATCATCTTGTTTGAAGTATTAACAATATGGACCACAATAAAGACAAGGTCAAGTCTCTCTTTAGAAAAATTGAGAGAAAAGTCTTAGAGCAAACCCAGGACCTGTATTTTTGGAAGCAGCCTGTCTGACAGCATGCTCAGTGAGACTGTTTGAAGAGCCTAAAGCTGACTGACCTATTGTAATAAAATGCTTTCATTTTCTCTTGACATTGTTTTGCTCAAAAGCATAGGAAGTAATTATGAAGTAAAAYGTCTTTCATCTTCAGAGGACCTGGAATGATGGCCATAAAAAGGCAAGTGGGTAGAAGTTCTGATAGGATATGGATTTTCAATATGCATAGTTCTACATGTCAGCAAAAGCAGGTCATTACAGTTTTCTGTGAMATTCATAACTAATTTGATGGAAGTCCTGATATAATATGCTATTTAAGCCTTACCCATTTTGTAATTGAAGTCTCATTTCAAATGACTGTGGCAATGTGTTTTTATTTTCAATATGGACATCTGTCTTCATACTGTGTGGCAAAGTCATTAACCACTGTAAATATGCATTTCATAAAGGACTGACTCGGTGTTATTAAAAGCTCAAATAAAACTAACAAAAAGAAAAATATTTGCTATAATTGGGTCAACCATTATTCCATTTTTTCTCAAAATGGTATGTGTATTTTTGAAAGTTATTCTTTTGTGGTTAGTCACAGAAAGTATTTAAAATATAAGACAAAGCAACTAAACTTTCAATTGAACATGAAATCACCACACTGTGCTTTTGTGCCTCCACAGCCATGGGGTATGAGTGACACTTGAAAGCACATTACACACACCACAGAGGTCCCAGAAACTCTGGAATACTTCAGTACACAGAGGATTGACCTTGGTGACTTCCTTATAAAGCACTTCTTTTYACAGAAATCATAGAATGGTTTGGGTTGGAAGGGACCTYAGAGATTATCCAGTTCCAACCCTCCCACAGGCAGAGACACCTTCCACTAGACCAGGCTGCTCAAAATCCCATCCAACCTGGCCTAGAATACCTMCAGGGATGGAGAATCCACAGCTCCCCTGGACACCCTGTGCCAGTATCTCACCACCATCACAGGAAAGAATTAATTCCTAAAATTGARGAGAAATTTCTCTTCAGTTCATGATTTTTTCTTAAAGGCAGAAAACCTTTATCTCTGATGCTAAATTGCAGACTTACATTGCAATTTTTGTTAGGTATGGTTTCATTTTGAGAATTCAGGCCTTCTTGTACCTATCAGTAATTTAGCTATAAAAGAAATACCTACCCAGGGAAACCAAAATTTAGGTGACATTAAAATGATGACAAACATTGACTTTAATGGCTGCATTGTCCACATTGACTACTGCAGATTGATAATTTTCTTCTTGAAAGTCATGTAATTAAAAGGTTCTTGCTGCTGAAAATCGAATAATTGTGTCACCTTGTACTATACAAATATAACTGAGGAGCTGACAGGAGATAAGATAAAAGTCAATAAAAAGAGAATAATTTATTAAAAAGATCTAATGTTACAAGAACAGTACACAGAAACTATTATATTACTGTGTCTTCCACATTGTATATACCATTATATATAGCATATATACAGATTGTATACAATATATCTAACATTTTGATATGGGCCATGACAGTAACGTTCTTTTGGTCTGTGAAACAAGGCTTCTTTCTAATTATTTTTCTTTCTGAACAGATCTTGTGACATTATACAAAAATACAGTCTCCTCAGTGACGCCAGACTGCACTATTACAATCTTTTACATGAAAAAGGAAAAAACTTTCCCTTGCAACTAAAAATGTCATGATAAGGAAACATCTTCTACAAAGTAACAAATAGGTAATACATAGGTACTTAAACATTTAAAACGTGTTTATTAATATATTTAAGATGCAAAATACATATTCTGTCCATGTTGAATATAAAACATACCTCCTTTTGTCCCTGCAATACAACTACATTACCTGATGGTATGTTAAATATTTCTATTTGTATCTTCATACTAGATGGAGCTCTATCTCCTCATCAGACTTTTATTCTTCCTATAAAGCATATCCATTTATTGTTATCAGAAAGTTTAACCAAATGCCACCAGCAGTGAATGTAGCCTTTTCGAATACTCTGAAACAAACTGCATTGGCAAGCAATTGTATAAAAAATAGAGGAAATTATGCATAACTAATTTATAAAATAACCATTTTTGGTTATTTTTGGACTTWTTTTGGTTCATCACTTTATTCTTATTTATTTTAACCTTTTGACAGATGATGGATTGTTGACACAGGTTCTCTGCACAGTAGTAATGCTGCTGTTTTACAAGGGACAGCAGGTAATTATTTTCTATGAGTTTGCTCTATCAGCAAGTTACATTACACCTTGATATCTTTGATCCCAGAAGCAGAGTTATAGAAGGCCTCTTTCTGTATATCTACAATCTATTAGTAGTTATCCTCCCTTTGTTTTCCTGGCAACATGGCGACTAAGTAAATTTAAACACTTTCTTTAGAAAATTCTTTAAAATATCAGTGGGTAATAAAAATTTGAATTGAAACTTTTCTGAAAATTTTTATTGATATTGATATTGATATTGATTCTAAGGAAAAAATATTTAGTCATCAGTCAACTTTTCTCTTTSTTGTTCTCTGTTGTGCTTTCTTGGCTACTGTTTTGAAGCTGCTGAGAAAGTGCACAGTTAGAGTATATTAACCGAATGCCAAAATTTATTTTGCTGTTGGCAAAATTATAGCATGTTGAATTGGAAACTCATCAGCTAAAACAGCTTTTCATCAAAACTTTTAGAGGGATGGACAGCTGGAAGAACTAGGCTATTAGGTCTTTCATATTAAACATTTTTGACTTGTTTTGTCAGGCAGTGAAATGTTCTTCCCAGGCATGATCCCTGGACATGTTAGCAAAATGCCTCTCTTCATAACAATGTGCCCACCATGGTGGTACAAACATACACACCATCTTCCCTGGGAATCATTTTGCCTCAGGTGTCAGTACATGGAAACATATTCCAATGTAGAAAAATTGTCCAAATTATGTACCGAGTAAAAAATTGTCTGGTACAGCAAAAAATGGGGATTAAAACTGATAGCACACAATACCTACAAGAATAATCTCCAGTGAGCTATAGAAATAGAGCCAATTAGTTAAATAATTGGAATTATGCTCTGTAGCCCTTTTCCAAGTTTTTTTCTCAGAAAYAAAATTCTCCAAAATATATCCTACTGCAGTCTGTATATATGAGAATGATTACATTCTGAAAAAYGTTAATATCCTCTCCATAACAGGCCTTTATAAATAATTCAACTTGATTACCAACTATATAAAGCATTGAATGTTACCAAAGAATGGACTCAGAGGAAAAAGAAAATTACGACTGGGAAGTGGTTGGGAGGAGTAGGTTTCTCTCCTTGCATTGCTTTGAATATTTAGTAGCTTAAAGTATAAGACGTTTAAATGCCCAGTGGAATTTTCATTGTCATATGCAGTAGGAATGGATTTCTTATTTACTACTTAAAATTTCATTGGACATGAAATATTGTGGTATTTGATAAAAAAATAACTTGTTTCCTCTTAAGTTTGTGTTTAATATTTTCCTGTTTTCATAAAATAAATGGGTTTTCTGCTTTATTTTGGATGAGCAGTCTGGTATTTCACTGACAATTCTTGCTAATTGAATAGATATTATATATTTTTAGAACAAGTTCTTTATGTTTGCAGTGGTCTTTGCATATAAACTGTATTTTTTCACCCTTGTCAGTAGGAACAACCAGTTACAGGGGATGCAAGCAAAGTATTCAACTAAGCTATATCAAACTTTGCTCTATATTTGAAAAAAGTTTTTTTTTCCAACCATACAGGTGTACTGTTTAAACACCTGTTGATACATGACTGGGCTCACCAAATTCAAACATTTTAAAAAAGGAAAATACATTTGACAAAAATTACCTTTGCTTACAAAAGTTTATTACATACAACCTGCATATTTTTGGGCCAAGAAGTGTCTCCTCCCCAGAGGACTTTTACAAATAAAGAAGAGATAAAAACATAATGAATTATTAACCGTGTCTCGAGCACTCTTCTAAGGGCACCACAGGCATTTYGATGGGTCTCTAAGCATTAGCTTGGGTTTCCAGTTTCTCCACGGACATAAAACTCCATCCCTTGGTGTCATCAAGTTAAAGCAAACAAATAACAACAACAACAAAGTCTGCAGCCTTCACCACGAGGCTGAAGGTACCACCAGTGCCAAAAGCAATGTTACAGAAGATGAGGAAGTAGACAACACATGTAAGGTGGACTGAGCACTTGTTACTTTCCCTCCTGAAATGAAAAGAAAAATAATTAAGGAACAAATGATGCCAGTGGTTGTCAGAACATTTAGATATTAGCTTTTGCCCAAAGCTTATATTCTATTACTCTCAGCAAGGCTAATTTTTAGGTGATGGATTACTTTCTGAGAACTGTAGTCACAAAATAGGCTCCYTACACAAGTGGGACTTTATAATGAAACCTACAGCAACTCACTTTCTAGATCCTCACATTCAGTCTGCAATTGAATAGGAGATTCCAAAAGGATATGTTTTTGTGCCTTAATCTTCAAAAAAGAAGTAGGCTACAGAAACTGTCCTGAGTCACGAATCTCTGTCCCAGAACAAGGAATGAAAGCTACCCCTTGATCTCTATATTTTTTCAGAGGAATGTCCATCRTCCTGTGTTGATTTTTGATCACAGCATTGCCTTAAAAGGCCATGCAAAAGGGAATTGTACTCTGGGGTGGTAGAGGCAACCACCTCTAGATGGAAACAGAACCATGATGGCTGTCCTTGGAGAACTGCCCTAAAGGAAATGAAGATGATATACATAGTCTAATTAGATGAAGGACTTTGTGACCTAGAGTTATGGCTCAAAAGATACATGAAAGAAACATTCCAGGGAATGGTGTCTTCTGCATTTTAACAATAGCACTGTGGTTTGTGACCAGACTAGAGCTGAAATTGTAGTTCTAGATAGAAATTTCAGACTAGCAGCTTTTCGTTAGTCCTCCTTAAGGAACAAAAAGCAGTATTTAGTGGAACTTTAAAGTGTTAGTAGAAGTTTAGAATTAAAATTCCTTGTTGTGATTAGGCAAAGATGATGTTATTTTCTTCTTGTTCTTGGTACTAATCCTCCCATCCATTTTCTACCTGTGTAATATTGATACTTTAAATTCTTTGAAAATATCACAGTAACTGAGGAGATAGAAGCTAGACATCATAATTTACTTAATTTACCAATAGGTAAATTTACATAATTCAMCTAATGGTAACACAGTAATACTGCAATAAGTTAATAATTAAATTAAGTAATCATTATGCAAGGGAGTCASTGGAATTTACAGAGAAAATCAGTTTATTCTCAAACATGCACATATACAGGGTTCAGCCACCTAAATACAKGCCTTTTTAGCTGTGCTTTACAGCACACCTCTGGCTGGAGGTGCAGAATGATGTGTGTATCCCCTACGTCCCACATCATGTCTGTCAGCTCCATTTGGGATCCCTTGGAGCATTGCAGACATCCTTAGGTGCTGATGTCTTATTAATTCAGAAGATTAGCTGAATTGCTGTCCAGGCKCCACTGCTGGTCTCCATGGATTGCATCCCAGCTGGCTCTATTGCTATTTGAGGCACCTAGTGCACATATGAACATCTATAGCTCAGGGAGGTTTTCAGATGTTATCCTTAAAAGGGAAAGGTTTCCTAGAAATCATCTTTTTGTTCATCAGCCTCATACAGTTGCCTCAGATGCTCTCAAAAATCTCACCTTTGTTTCAGCATAGAAGGAGACTCAGATCAATGATTTCATGTATTACATGTAAAGGATTGCGAGAACATTGCTTTTCAGGTAGAGAATAACAGAGTTAATGAGCATTGCTCATTAATCACCACTCTTTCAAATACAAGTGTAACCTTACCTGAAAAAGATGGAACCCTGATCTGGGGACTTGCAGTCCCATCCCCTCCTTCGCTGACTGCACAGACCTCAATGATGTAGACACCAACATCAGGGAGAAGCACCACAGCAGAGGTTTTCTGTGTTTCTATAACTTGGCTGTTGCTCTGKCCCTCTTGCCAAAATAACACCTGTGGTCAGTAAAGAGGACAGTGGTCACAGCAGTCATTCCAGCTCTGCACCAGACACTTTGTGTGAAACACTGCCATGTTAACTATTTCAGGCTTTCATTAGGGATTTCTTCACCTTGCACTTGAACAGACATCTGCATTTACTCTTTCCTTCCTTCAGTGGCTTCAAAAGAGTAATAGCCAAGTATAATAGCAATTACCCAACATGAAAGGACAGAGATTATGACATAGAGGAAGGACAGGGCATTTGCCTCTCCGATGTGCTGCACAACTTCATCTCCAAAACTTCAAAATGTATTTTGAGTTTYGTTTGGTTCAAATTCTTATCCCAAAATTTATATTGATATTCATATTTTTGGCTCAAGAACCCAACTTCAAATGTTRAAAAAATGTCCTGAATAATGTATTGATAACGTATTTAATGTATTTACCTTAGCTGGATAAGTCAACTGAGAACAGTTCTGATCTGTCCCTGCATTTCCTGTGAAACTCAATCGAAATTCATGGCATATGGGAAGAAAGCARGTTGGTTCATAGCTGTCTTTTTGGTATTTCTGCATCTTATGCAGTTTCTATTCCCACACAAAATTGAAAAGGTCAGAGACGTGTGAAAAACSAAAGGAGTCAACTATTTCAGAATATCAGCTATTCTGATAAAGGTTAGAACACTTTCTGGTTTATTGGAACCATTTTACACTTGGTGCTATTTCCTGATGTATCAGAGGCAATATRAGACTGTAGTCTATAGAAATGATTTGATATGAGCTTCAAAAAAACCCAAACCCCACATCTCTCCAAAAACACTGAAATCTTTCTACTTTGATTTAAAGTATTGCAGTGAATTCTGGTTTTAATGACTTGCTATTTAAATGCTATTCTGGATTTGAATCTTTGAAACTTCAAAACTCTAAATTCCAGGCATTACCATCACCAGCATTATCCCAAAACAAACTGAAGTGTTTGTGTTTCTCTCTCACAAAAATATTAATTTTGATGTAAATTAATGATGTCTCATTATTATGCATTTCTCTAAATCCTACTGCAAACACAGTTGAGTTGAAGAGTTAGAAATTTCACTGAAGTCTGATATTATCAATAGCCACTCCTGCCCCAGAGATTATGGACTGACCCCCTCAGATAGAGAGGCATCAGATAGAGTTCAGTACTTGAAAATCACAACTCAAAAATATGTCAGGACATTTCTCTCACTTTAATTTTATWTATTATATTTCACAGTGAAAACTGACTTGAGACTGTGTATAAAATGTTTTACTTGCAGAGAGGAACAAGAAAGGGGAAAAAACCAAAAAACAAAGAGGAACAGTTGCTCGGAAGAGAGAAAGGTGAGCAAGGAAGAGGAAAAACTGACCTTGTATCCCATTACATCAGATTCGTTAGCTAAAGGTCTGACTGGCTCCCATCCAAGGGACACATGTGAGCCTTCCTGTATCCACATTATATTGCCTGGTGCTTGGCTGGGAGCTGAGAAGAAAAAATAGCATGTATATATATATATATATATAGGTAGCATTGTTAAAACCAAAATAAAAGTATTTTATTCTTTCAATACTTTTAAAACTGGTAGCGTTAGCAGGCTCCCAACTTTAGATGGAACACTTCAGACTTTTTTCATCAATATTGTAATTTAATTGATTATGGTGTATTTATTCCTCCCACCCAATAAACTCCACAAAGCTTATGAACTTGCACTCTTTTCTCTCCCTTTGTAAAAAAGCCTTATTTTTCTAGGAAAATAACCTTTGTTATGAATGCAAAGTCATATGTATGCATGTCAAAATATCAGAGCAAAGGAAATCAAAGCCATGAATCAGAGCTTTACATGATTCCTGATTATTATACACTCTTATTAAATAAAAGCCCAAGGGGACAGAAGTTGCTCCCTGACTTCTCCCTTTCAGCAAAGSTGTTGAGATTACTTACGGGATTTCTTGGTCGCTGCGTGCACAGCAGCACTAGGTGGTCCATACCCTGCAGCATTGTATGCCCTCACTGTTAGGTGATATAATGTGTTTCCTTCTAATCCTGTCAGGAGGATGGATGACTCATTTCCCTCTGTTTTGACCTTTTCTGCTGCTTCTTCCTGCTGCATGTCCTTCCAGTAACCAACCTGCCAACAAGCAACCAAATGAAGGATTAATACAGGCACCTGGCAAGCTCATGCTTCCAGATGCTTATACTCATAATCCTGTGGAAGGTATTTTTGCCATTTGCACCTTTTTCTGATCATCAGGCCCCTTAAGCATATGGGATTTGCAGCTTGACCTCAAGCCATGCAGTGCTCGTTTCTCCAAAATGGCAAGATTCGGAACAWCATGGTGTGACTCAAACCATATAGAATGGCAGTGTGCTGGCAAAAGAAGAGGTTACTGTAAGAGCAGAGGTGAAYTTTGGCAGGGACACATCATCATTGAAGGAGAAAAATCAAGAAGAGCTCATCCTCTGGTGGCTCAGCAGAATATCTACCTTCCCTGGAAAACTCTGTCCTCATCAGTTACAAGTGTTGTGAGCAATATTTTCTTCCTGGCCTGGTGCAACTCAAAGCCAAGAGATTTCTTATCAGTCCAATGAATAGGCAATGACAGAACAATGATGGAAATRTTTCAATCATCTGAAAAATCTTAAYGGAAGAAAAAGAAGGAAGTGGATTCAGTTTTAGTTCTTGGATATRAACAGGTTTCTGGTAAATGGAATTTTGATGTGTTTATGCTCTTCCTTTTCAGACATACAATCAATCCCTAAATGATCTTTGGTTCTTCTTAATTCTTATTCTCTGGCATCTTCATTGAATTAATTGTAATCTCAAAGAGGTTATAAAGCTGAGCTGAGAGTTTGACCAGCCTCTTTCCTCAGGGACCGACTATGTGCAGGGAGAAAAGCATTACTATTTGTTTATAGTGTGTCTAGGTGAGCTACACAAATAAGGCAATTCTCTTGAGGCCCTATTTTCCCTTACAGGAGATGTCACTAACATTCATTCAAAGACATATATTCAGCTTACCAKTATTCATGCCAACACCTACTTGCATTTCTTCCACATTTTGACCTTTTATRTGAAGTTGGTTATTTCTTAATAAGTTATTTACATTGTATCTGGATAAGTTTTCCTCTGAGGAAAAAAGGTCACAGACAACACAGAACTCTTGAGAATGCCTCTCAGAAAATTTTGAACCAAAAAAMACAAGGGGTTCACAAGAAAATAAGACCAATCAGCACAATGCTRACCTTTTAGGATTGCACTAGGATCRCCAYAAAAAAATCTGAAAAAATCTCATTGCAAAAATAAACATTTGAGGTCCTATCTTCACTTTAGTAAAGTGCTTCTATTAACATTGATTAAGTTGCAAAACTCAACACAGTTTGTGTCAACTCTAAGTCCACTCTTTCAACTATAAAATACAAGTAAATGTCTTTTGTGTGTGTGTGTGTGTGTGTGTGTATATCCCTGCATAATCTCATGCTAAAATGCTTAAATTCTAACATGAATTACAGCTCAGTTCACAAATCCAGCTGCAGTCACCACTTGTTCTGAAATAAGTGAATTCACTGAGGTGTTTTTCTGGATGAATACCTGACCAAAGCTGCTGACATCTGAAGTTACACCTGTTCAGAATCAGTTTTCTTTTCTATAAAAGTAAAAAGAACCAAAAACCATTTATTCATATACTACTATTGAATCTCCAATGCTTATTATCTCCTGGACAGAATCTGGCAGATTCCTTTCACTTTCCTTGTGATTCATCTTTACAAATTTGATACTACAACAGTGAGAACTGCACAATATCGAGCACTGTGTGAACAGTGAGAGGGAACATGTGTCCTGGAGACCCTATGATCCAGATGGTGTGKTCTGATGAGGATCCAACAAGAAAATGGTCAGAAAGGAAAAGCGAGTTGACCAGRTTTACACAGCAGTGGGGGTGAAAAAGCAACTGAAGTTTTTCTCCTTTTTTTAGAAAGCCAGGGGCAAAATTCTAAGTA